TTTTTTTTTTTTTTTTTGCCCCGTAGTTTAAGGGAACGAAAAAAGGAAAAGGAAAACGCGGCGCGCGGAGTATGTGCAGCAATTTAGGCGAACAAAAGGGCGGAGAACTGTGTATCCAATTTACGGAAAGTGAAAATGGAGTACTATGCGTTTCGACGATGATACAATGCGGCTGTAACGCGTTAAACGACGCAGAGCGAACGAGCGGCTGCCTCTAAAACATTTCAAAGCGTAAAATAGCTGAAACCGAACGTACGCGTGGAAAAAGGATTTTAAAGGGAATGGAAGGTTATCGAGTTCGACCGACAGAGCAAAGTTGTCACTGTTAAAGGGCCCTTGGATCACCTGTAACGATTATTTTCTTTTTTCGGGGGATGGGGGGAGGGGATTTAACATTCCATTCGATATTCCGACGAATTTTTCCACGCTGTTTTTAAAACACACGACGCTCCCTGTGCAATAACGGCCGTATGCACCTGGCGATTTTCATTTCTCACCACTCGTTCAACTCACTGAGTTTAAGGACAAGGGACGTGTCAAATATTTTTACATTATGCGATTTTTTTCTTTTTTCTTTTTTTTTTTTTTTTTTGGAATCAAGTGACACGTGTCAATCAGTTCAAAAATTGAAAAATCTGATGAATTCGATAACACGATATTTATTATAATTGTACGAGAGCGAAACTGAGCGACGAGTAATACTGGAACTGTCAAAATGATCAAAATGACGAATTCGTAATATTTTCTTTTGATTTTTGTAAAATTTTCTGGGAATTTTTACTTACTTGATTTCTGTAAAACATACGAATGAAACGTGATATTCTTTACAAGCATGATCTAATGCATTACTGTATTAAGATATTATTCTATTATCTAATGTTTTCCTATTTTCCTCGTATTTTAATTTTTCTGACACAGGTTTCACGTTTAGTTATCGATAGTTCTAATATTAACTCACGGGCAGCGGAAGCTGAGTCAATTCTCTGACACACGTAAATATTTTATTCGCGAGTCGATTATGAATGTTTATGCATTTTCAGTAAATTTGAATGAGTCTAATAATTAAGAATATACAGAATATTCAAAGTGGAGTTTTAATATTTGGTAAACGAATCTCTATTTGAGCTCCGATTCTTCAGTCGTTACAAAAATATTAATTAATATTAGAGATTCAGAATTAGCGACAAAACTCTTTACATTAACGACAATTTATAATTAATATAATCAGTTACAATTAATTAGTGTAATAAATAAATTCTTCAAAGTCTTTTTTGAATCTCACCAAATAATAAAATTCAGATTTCACGCTGATATTGAAAAACAAAATCCAATACGCACATCAATTACTTATTTTCTCTATTAAGAATTTGATCCATTTCGTCTGTAACAATCCGATACGTAAAACTACATAAACATTCACGGTCTCGTTAAAATTCTAATTTTCAAATGAACTTTCACCAACAACAAACAGCTCTTTCGTTCTTTGCTTTATGGTCGTGAAAAAGAGAAAAGCAACAAAAATAAAAACGTTGTTGTACCAAGAATAAAGTAATCCTAGAATTTTGAAATTTAATCGTGAAAATTTCTGTCGTTCACAGATCCACGTGGTCAAAAAGGCAATTCCGAGAGAGAGAAAGAGAGAGAAAGAGAGAGAGGGGGGGTAGAGAGAATCTGTGTTTACCTTGTGCGCTCTGAGAGTCTTGCCCTCGCAGGCCAGAGTGACGTCGCAATAAGCTTGCCGCTCGAGCAGCTGTGAGAACATGGTCTGTAAGTTGCTGTGATGGTATTTCCATCGTAGGCAATATTGTTGGGGGAACATGTTGGTGGATGACGTCGCGGGTGGTGTCGTTACTGAACCGCCTCGTTGCTGAAGCATGCGCGGATCTGGTACCGCCGCCAACCTCTTCCAAGCCAAGGAGGATCCCCGTTCCTGTGGTTCACCGTAATACCACCGCCTTTTTCCTTCCACTCCACTCTGCAACATTAGTTTCTCCGTTCAGAAAGATCGCCAATCTTCGACGATTCGACGCCTACCTACACGCCTGGCCTAGCTAAACTAGTAAGAAGAAACCTTTAAACTACAAATCATCGATTATCGTTATTTCATTGAGGAGGTTTTGGCCCGACTCGGGCGTACGATGATCAACTATTTAGCTCATGGACGTATTGTCCATTTTATTTTATAATTTACACATTTGTATTTATACTATAATTTATATAATTTTATAATTTATATAATTTATATTTATACTATAATTTATATAATTTTAGTATTTATATTTTTATACAGGTACTATAATTTTATTTATATTATATCAAAAATAAAAAGTGTTGTGGCAAAAGCATACTTTACATTTTACAATATTTTCTCTTTCTCTGTGTTTATATTTTTATTATTTGCATTTTAGTATTTATATAATTTCATAATTTACACATTTATATTTATACTATGATCTATATAATTTTATCATTTATACATTTATATTTATACTATAATCGATATAATTTATATAATTTTAGTATTTATATTTTTATACAAATACTATAATTCTATTTACATTATATCAAAAACAAAAATCTGCAGTTCGATTCCAACACCTTAAAACAGCAACGACAATTATAATTGTACACAGATAATTTGCAGTTGTCTACTTTACAAAAGTCACGTTCGATCTGACATCCAAGCGTTCGAAAGCTGCTCAACAATTAAATTCAATGCTACCCTCCGATTGATACGTTTCCTGTCAGTTTGCGCGTTTCCGGAACGCCTTCTGACAAGTGCGTGGTAGAACTGCCGCGTTTACAACTTTTTACTGCTTCCGGTTCTCGACGCTACCGTTCGATGCAAACGCGGGGAGGATGCTAATGCACGGGAGCTTGAAAAAAAGAAAAAAAAAAAAGAAAGAAAGGTTCTTACGGGTATCGGTGGATGCGCAGTCAGCGAGCCGAGCACGTTCTCCAAGTCAAACCAACCCGGACCTCTGTCAACCGGATGAACGCTTCCAAGACGGTGGCCTTCGAAGCATTTACACGCGAGTCCGTTCGAACGTGCAGCTCGATCACGATTGCCCCTGACGACGATGCCGGGTCTCACGTGTTCTCTCTGTAACACACAGACAGAGGGGATTGACCGTCAGACTGAATCGATTCGAAGTGTAACGCACACACACACACACACACACACGCACACACAGAAAATTTCAGGTTCGCTTCCTTCTTATTCAGGGTAGATTTTTGACAAGGGATTGGTTCAAGTTCAAGTTCGACTTCTAGGGTTCGTTACGTACTAATTTGATTAACATCCTAACGTCTGGTTGGTTACTCGTGGAAGTAAAAAATGTCACCAAACGTTGATAAAGCTTGTTAAAAATGTATAAATTAACAGCTCCGGCTTCTTTCCGGCATTTAAATTTGATTTCTGTCGAAGTTGGTTCAAGCTCAAGTTGGATTTGTAGGATTCGTTGCATATTAATTTGATTAACGTCGAAAACGTCTGGTTACTTTTGCGCGAGGAGATTTCACTAGAGGCTAGTAAGTTTTGTCAAGAATCTATCGATCAAAAATTCGGTTCTTCGTCGTTCAAATTTTATAAGATTCGTCAGATACCAATGTGATTAATATCGTAACGTCTGGTTACTTTTGGAAGCAAATTTCACTAGAGGCGGAGTGAAGTTCCGCCAAGAATCTATAAATCGAAAGTTCGCTCCTGTTTCATTTAAATTCTATTTCGATTCAAGTTCAATTAATTGAATATATATAAAATATATAATAATTTGATATTATATATATAATATAGGTAGAATATATATTATATATACATAATATTATATATATAATATAGATGTAATAACTGGCTACTTTTGGTCATTTAAAAATAAAGTTACTTGACATCGTAGTAGTAGCATTAATACATTTTCACTTGAGAATTCCTTGTTTCTCCCGAGAATGAATAATACAACATTGACACCCGAAATTGATTCCCCTTTGTTAACTTTTAACTCAGTAATTACAGATCGCACTCCATTACAGATTCAGATTCTAATCGATTCTAATTCGGCTCGATCAGATGCCCACACGTACGTATCTCCTGTTTATCGTCTCTTTGCTAATTTCGATTTCACTCGTCTCGATTAGATTCAGTTCGAACCAGTCGATGACTGATAGGAATCACCAGACGTGGCAACATGCTTAATTCACAACTTCACCGAGGGACACGACCGGCTGCGTTTATGAAGCAATTTACTGCTTGCCCGCTTATGACTTTGCCGGGCAGTTAAGTATAGTACAGAGGAAAAGAAAACCAAGAAATGCCGTTCACGGAGAGAATTTATTAGGTTGTTGCTTATGGTGTCAACGATCGTTTATCTCGAGACGACGATATTAATTAATTGATCATTGAATTTCCGGGGGAAAAAAAATGATCAGAGTAAATTTGAATCTACCCAGAGTCTAGATAGTGTATCAAATAATTTTCAAACAGTATCCCGTATTGCTTTTACATAAAATTTTGCATGCAATTGTAACAAGTTACAATCATTTGATCTTTTGTCGTGCAATTACTGTTTGAATAAATCTCTCGCTTAATTTATACGAAAGAACAAATTGAAACTGAAACTTTCAGAGCAATTTGCTTGATTCACCATCTTATCTCGCGGGCCCCTCCTCTCGATAAAACTGCTCAATTATCATTGGATCGAACGCTATCTGCGATTCGCTCACGTATTTACGAGAAACTCAAAAATGCATAGAACGTGCTTAATATGCTAAATACGAAGTTACTAGAAATATTTGAAGTTCCATGAAGTAAAGTAGATCGAAATATTTGTTATTAGAAATATTTGAAGTTCCAGTAGTAAAGTAGATTAGACTTCATCCTCTTGATTTGTAACTTTTTGGCCGATCGTTCGTCAAGCGAAAGAAGAGCGATGTTCATAAAGAAAGGGAGGGAAGAAAAATTGAAAGGTTCGAATTGAATGTTCTTACGTAACCTGTTTTTCATTGGAAATAATAACCACAATAAGTTCAACGTGCGTGATCCGACATTATAAAAGCAACCCTTACAACCAGAATTTTGTTTGCTCTCAAGAGAAGAAGATTATTGGTTATTTGCTTCAGTTTAAAATCTGGCTTTAAAACTAATAACTCTTATGAATAATTCATTTTTCGGTAGATATTTTTGTATCGATTTTGTAACTGGTGAAATTTCACACAACATGATACGCGCATGATACACGTTCACGGAGAATTCCCTATATAAATGATGCATAATGAACGCATTTCATGAGCAAATTCTAATCAAAATAGATCGCAGAACAATTTAACCTCAGATTGGATTACCGCGGTATTTCTTCTGCGGAATTTTTTTCGAAAGTAACCAAGGAAGATCGAGGGTCTCGCGGAACCGGAAGATTCCTGCGGCGAGGGAAGAAAGTTACGGGGCAAACTCCGTGGAAAAAAGAAGTTTTCATTGCATTATCTGGAAACGATTAACGTGAGCCGCTTGTATCTATTAGCATAATTATCGAGAGTGACTTTGTAAAATCGTGAAAGTCGAATATCGACATTTAACTTTCATCGGGTTCTCTCCTCCGGGCCCGGGGCTGATGAAGTTCCATTAGAAACGAATCGGAAAACTGATTTGGCGAATCTCTGATTAAAACCGGTGACATCCGGTTACATCTCGTTATCCTCTAATAAAAATCTGACACCGGCGGCCCCCGCGTTGTCGTGTTGTTTGTTTCGTCCACTAAACGTTTCGCTGTTAAACGTTTCAATTATGCCGTTTTGAATTTTAAAGGGGCACGGGGAATTTAGAGGAGGAATCTTGCGTTTTGCGTTTTCCCAACAATTCCCAACGAGGATCTTTCGAGCTTGTTTAAACTTCCTATTCGGGACCGTTTCTGAATTTATTCGAGGATTAATTCGTATTTTTATGTATTTATGAGATGTAAAGTTGTACAGATCGATCTACAAGTAAAAAGAAAAAAAGAAAAGGATCGTTTATATTGAAGTAATATAAATTTCTCTTTCATCGATTTGATCTCCAAATAGCGTCGTTGATTTTATTAAATGGTTACAATAATTTATATTGGATTACTGAAATTTGATTTGCCTTTCGCATTCTTTTCTGTAACGGAGATTAGGAATACGATCGAATTAAACTGGGAAGTACCATTTAACGATGATTAAAAATTAAGAACAGAAGAGATCTATTTTCAGCATCTGATGCTTCATTATTTAGGTCATTTGCCTTTGTTATTTTGTTTAAAATTGTGAGAAAAGATGTTCTCGTGCCAAAATATTTTGATCATACACATAACTTGAATACCAGAAGTTTATAAATATATCAGTGTATGCCACTGTATCCAAATTTTATCCGAAATTAAAACTTATCCATACTTTTAGAGCCAAGGACCAACTTTTGTTCTCGCTCAAAAATAAAGTCACAGACTGTAATTTCTCTCTCTTACACTTGGATAAAAGTGAAGAATAATTGGTGACGGAAGGCGCATCATTTTTCGAATCTCCAGTACGTAAACTAGTCAACGTAGTCTTATCGAAGACGTAGGATAATATCTAAGGCAGAGTTTAAAAATATTTTGATCATACACATAACTTGAATAGCAGAAGTTTATAAATGTATCACTGTATGCCACTATATCCAAATTTTATCCGAAATTAAAACTTATCCATACTTTTAGAGCCAAGAACCAACTTTCTCGCCAAAAATAAAGTCGCAGACTGTAATTTCTGAATGATAAAAGTGAAGAATAATTGGTGACGGAAGGCGCATCATTTTTCGAATCTCCAGTACGTAAACTAGTCAACGTAGTCTTATCGAGGACGTAGGGTAATATCTAAGGCAGAGTTTAGGCTGCACGCTCGGCTGCGGTTTTAAAATTCTCCCCCCAGGCAAGCAAGCCTCCGTGGAACTCGCCGGTGGATCGTGGGAATCAATAAATTCCCCGTATCGGAAAACGCTGAGGGTACAATACGCGGAAAAATCGACAAGGCGCGAATTTACGCGAAATTACGATCCGTTCTATCTTTCAACGTCTTCCCAATTTCATACGCCAACGCTACTACATTTCTCTCTCTCTCTCTCTCTCTCTCTCTCTCTGCGTCTCTTTTTTTGTCTTTCATTCGAACTTATTAATTTTCTAATTTAAATTTCTTTTGTTCTACCCTAATTCCCTAATTGTTATTTGTTCCTCCTCCCAAATTGAAAGTTCGCAGCACGATTTCTATCTCCGTTTTTCTACACTTCTCCCTTCCGCTCTATTATTAATTTTCCAATTACTCTATTATTTATCCCAATTTTCAATTCAATATTCCGCTCAATATTCTATATAAATTCTATCAGCCTCTTACTAATTCATAATTCGCTTTCTTACTAATATCTCTCTTTATCCTCTTTCCGATCCCCACCTCGTAGATTATTTATTCTAACATCCTAACTGTTCTACTATTTATTACATTAATGCCCCAATTAATTCCATCATTCTCTTACCAATTTCCTCGTGCTTGAGAATCCATTCTATTATCTTTCCAAATTTCTCATCTCTCTTTTAATACGACTGTCTCCTCCCCGATTTTCCTCTCTCGCCCCGTCGCCCCTCTCTTCCCTTTTTAATTTTCCGCATTTCCGCGTCATCATCTCCCTTACATCTTACCTCGTACAAAATTTGCCTCTTTTCCCCTGGCCGGGGAAAAAAAGGGAGAAAAAAAAAAAAAAAGGGAAAATGTCGATGGCGCGTCAAAAGACCGTTCTCCACGAGGTAACCGGATGTCAAACATTTTTGTCGGGGCTGGAGGGCAGCTCGGTATTCAGGTCTCGCTACGTACACCGGGATAACACGCTCTCACACTCACACACACATACACACACGTACACGTACACGTACGTAGAGTACATAGAGTAGGAAGCACAAGCGCGCGAAACGATGCCTCGTTCGGTAGCCTAGATTCCCTGAGATACTTTCTATTGTGTTTACGGATCGGATTAGAGTACCTTTCGCCGTTGAGAAAATGCCCCGACTACATCGGGACGCGGAAGAGCGGGCGACAAGCGGCGGGTGACCTTTTCGAAATCCGGATCAAATT